AGGTTCAGGAAAAACATTTTAAGATTCTTTGAAGGTGGTCCTCCACAAATTCTTTCCAGCAACCATGGATAAATGCTGGCATTGTAATTCAGAGAGGGGGACTCTCCTCCATGTATTCTGGTCCTGCCCTAGGTTGGCCTGCTACTGGCAAGAGATCCATCGAATTGGTCAAAAATTTACAGATTATCCAATTCCTGATGATCCTGCATTCTTTCTGTTTCATGTCACCAGCATTCCAGCTAAAGTTTTACAAATGTTCAATTCTACATTCTACATCTTCTGAACACTGCCAAATCCTGTATATCCCTTAGATGGAAGGATCCACAACCTCCATCTGTTGGACTATGGCTCCAAAGGGTAGATGAGCTAAATGTACTGGAAGACTTGGTACTGATGAAACATGACAAACACAAGGTATATTCCAAAACATGGCCCTTTAGGAACATGTTTCTTTTTTCGGAGGAGGGGAAGTCCCTTCTCGAGGTGGGTCACCCCATTGTCTAGAGTTCAATTACAATTAGCTGTGCTACCAGACATGGTCATTTGACAAACTACCCTACCATCATCTTCTTTATATTTTCCCTGCCATTGCTTAGCCTCCTTTTTCTCCTCCCCTTCCCTTCTACCCCCCTCCCTTTTTTTTCTTTCTTGTTGTCTCTCTCTTTGTTCCTCTCTTTCTCTTTCCTCTCTCTTCTCTTTTCTATGCTTTCTTTCTTATATCTTGGAAAAAGTTACAGTGGTGTCATTCGGGATGGGTTCTTCCCATGTTGGTTACAATTTGATGTTTGTGTATGCTAAGATACTTGACAACACCTGTATGATTGTATAATGTTCTTCTTTTGTGACATACCTATACTGTTTTTTAACCATTTTGTGTAATACTATCTATGGATGGAAGCTGTTGTATTTAGAAAAAAGAATTTGAAAAAAAAAACTGTATACCAGGATAGCGGCTAACATTCTACATAATATCTTGACCTTCAACATAGATTGCGGGTTTAGTTAGTATCTGGAATAATAACCCCAGGAAACCATTACATAGTACATTTTATTTACCTCTCATCCCCTTGTTAGGATTTGGTATTAAGTGTACATTAATCCCTTTACCTCCTCCATCTTGTGTATGACCTGTACATTATTGATGTGCTGTATCTAGTGCATTATTATCTAATTACTATATTTTTAAGCATCTCAATACCAGCACGTTTCTTCATTTCCAAAGAAATTGGCAAAAATGAGATCATCACTGGGGTGTCTACTTTCCACAAGGGGTCATTTATGGGTACTGTCCTGTCATTTATATTTGATATGTTCTATACAAGAAACAAAGGGTCATTTTTGGTTATTTTTCCTTTATATATTAAAAATGATAATAAAAAAACTGTGGTTATTATCTACTCTAATTAAGTACTTTCTTTCTCTGAAATATACTGTATAAAATTTATTTGGCTTTTCCAACCTCCCACGCCCCTATAAAGTACATGACAAATGATAAAAACCACTCCCTCAATGACCCCCCCTCCCCCCTTCCTGGACTCCTAGATTTACTGCCTAAATAAGGGTCTGGTCTAAATTTTGGGAGGAATCCCATGTCAGTTTTCACTTTAAAATGGAAAAAATAAAATGGGAAAAAACAGCCTCCCTTAATGCATACCTGATGTGGAAGTAATGCGGATATCCACGCTGTATAGTAGAGGTAGGGTGCTGCACACCATCTAGGAAGTGTGGCATAATGTCCCCATCCTGTGATAAATAAGTGACATGAAAGACAGTCAATATGGTAGTCACTATGTAGCCTCAAATAGAGGAGGTCCTAGGGCCATTATTTCTTTTCAGTATAAACAGTGTTCCACTCACCACCCGTACAGTGAATAAGGAACAGTGCATACTATCTCCTGTTGTTGGATTCAAGCCCAGAGTCCCGGAGGCAGCCGCCAACATCGGGATTGTAAACAAACGGGCTCCGCTTCCATCCAGGTACACGTGCAAATTGATGAACGCCCAGCAAGAGCGTGTATTTCCGTGCCCCTTGCAGGACCAATGTGCCGGCCGGTAGTGACGTCACTGAAGTGTGATGTCAACACGTTTCACCGATAGACATATCTTACTCAGCTTTGTCAGGACCAAATATTTTATAATAATTTTTTGTTTTAGGTCAATTCCTTTGGTATTGTCTCATTTTGTGGTGATGGCTAACTGTGGCATTTACCTAAATGTCTAAATATGTGCAAAATTTGCAATGAATTTGCATAATTTTTTGATACATTTTTGGGTATTGCTTTCTTCCATTATGTAACCGCTTTTTGTTGTGAATTTCTTTTCACATCCCCCCTTTTTGCTGTCTGTTTTTTGGTTACTTGGCAGATAAAATACGTTCAGCGATAGTGATGAATATATATGGCCTCATGCTCCCTTGTTATTATCCTTTTTCCAAAACCCTACCATCAGGAGCACAAAAAACCCTACTATTTTCCACTGAACAGACGATACACATTCTTATAAAAGTAATTTTACTGCTCTGTTAGCTAGTTTCAGACTTTCAGTTTTAACTTTGTGTATTATGGTGTGTATTGTGTTTGCTTTTTAAATGTAAACTAAATCTACAATTCATATTTCATTCACTGAAATCAACACATGACTTAGTTAAAAAAAAAAAAGATTTAAAACCAGCTACAAAATGTAGTTGCTATGGAAAAACAAATTACTTTTTCAAATAATTCTAGGATAGATCTCTAGCAATCCCAACAATAAACTTTAGACTTGCTGCTTTGGTGAGTCATAATGTTATTCTACAGTGATACGTCTCTTGAAAACAGCCTTGGAGTATTATTCACAAATCCCACATTGAGCAAGTATGTTGTTCAATGTGTACCTTATTATGAATAACCTGAACTTACAACCTTGAATGCTGTGCAAAGACAAGCGTGAAGTCATCAAAACAGCTGATTATAGGTTTGATTGGAGACCATGGTTTAACAGATGATTATGTAATACAAGTGTAAAAAGTATAGGATTTTATAAAGTCATTCTTGCAAGCATGATCCTTCATCTTACAATATGACTCATCCAGTCTTCCTAATTTATAGGGAAAATTAGGTTTTAAAGGATAAGTTTGCTTTTTACAAAAAAAACAAAAAATAATAATAATAGATGCACATTTTTTGCAGGTAAAAAATTTGTGCATTTATTATTATTTTATTAGGAGCCTGTAAAGCATTGAACCCACGATCAGCAAATAGTGGGTGTCATGCCATGGTCCTGCAGACTGTCTGTATCAATGAACTATCTGGAGTGCTCAACAGCACCCTGGTAGCCCATTGAGAACTATAAACTGACAGCCACAAAGGCTGTCAGGACTTGTAGTTTTCCTATTCACAGAACACTGTGAATGATGCGACCAAGCAGTTGGAGCCCTACATTGTTGCATTTTTTTTCAGATTGTGACAGCCAGCAGGGAAGAAGATCCCCCGCTAGCTATCACAACGAGGAATCAGGGGGATGCAGGGGACAGTGCATTTGTAACATATTTACATGTTACACCCTGAATATGGGTATAGCATGTAATATGTTACAAAAGGTGAACTTATCCTTTAAATACATTCCTCTATAAAACATGTGTTAGAGAAGGGATAGACAAAATTGATAGGTTTCAGACAGTTTTTGTCACTGGCAATAAAGGTAGGTCACATTTTTCTTAGATAATTACTTATGTTCAATTAACTAAATCTAGAATGGACCACTCTTTGTTGGCTTAAATATTTTTAAGCTTTCAAGAGATATGAGGTTGTCTTCCAGTCCAATAAAATCCAACAACTTTTATCTCACAACTAAGGGCACCTTAATGGTGGCCATACACAGCCTAATCATTGCCAGTAATGTTATCATCTATTACATGCCTTGTAACAATGAAACCCAGTTTGTAGCATTCCCAAGGAAAAGTATTTATGAACCATTCACAGCCTAAATAAAGCAGTTTTAATAAACCGAATTAATAATGTAATTTGAACTTGTATGGCCTACTCATACACGGAATAGGAAAACTAAACTTCAGACACATATTGAAATAAAAGCATTTAATGCAGTTGTGCATTCTTTAAAAAAAGAAAAGTATTTTTTTTTATACGGCTAGCATGAGTCAGTCTTGATTTAAGTCTCTATATCAGGAGTAAGGCCATAATGGCCAAAACATGTTAGCTGTAGTCACTGTGTTTTTTTATATGTAGCCAATAAAAAAAAATCTTATTTTGGGGTTACCAAGTTGCCGGTTAATATTTGTTAATATCCAGGTGTGCAGGGACTGCTCATCCAAGACAGGAGCACCTTCTTCAGCCACAGATCTCCTAATCAAGCAGCATAGCTTGGGTATCGTATCCAGTGACTTTCTGAATCCAAATCAGGTGCCAAAAAGAAGAGAAGATGAAGTTTTGCCCTTGCACAAAATCACTATATTCACAACAAAGTATACTGTATGTAATGTACTGTATGGGAATTTGTGTTTGTCATCTTATGGATATCCTAATATTCAATTTTTAAAATATTGTATCTGTAAGAGTGAATACCATTTTTGTTTGATCAGCCATTGTTTTCTAAAATATTTTATTTTTATATACATTAACCACAAGCTTACAGCGCACTTATACCCCCTTCCTGCCCAGGCCAATTTACATCTTTCAGCGCTGTTGCACTTTGAATTACAATTGCGCGGTCATGCAACACTGTACCCATATGAAATTTTTATCATTTTTTTGTGACAGATAGAGCTTTATTTTGGTGGTATTTAATCAGCTCTGGATTTTAAATTTTTTTTAAACAAACCAAAAACCACTGAAAATTTTGAAAAAAAAAACTTTTTTCTAAGTTTTGGTTATAAAACTTTGTAAATAAGTGATTTTTCTCCTTCACTGATGTGCGCTAATGAGGCTGAAGTGATGGGCACTTATGGACACTGATAGGTGGCACTGATGAGGAGGCACTGGTAGGTGGCACTGATGGGCATTGACAGGCATCACTAATGGGCACTGAAAGGCAGCACTGATAGGCGGCACTGATAGGTGGCACTGACTGGCACTGGTAGGCGGCACTGACTGGCACTGCTAGGTGGCACTGCCTGGCACTGTTAGGCAGTACTGACTGGCACTGATAGGCGGCACTGATGCGCACTGATAGGCGGCACTGATGCGCACTGATAGGAGGCACTGATAGGTGGCACTGATAGGTGGCACTGATTGGCATTGATAGGGGTCACTGAATGGCACTGATGGGTGACACTGAAAGGCAGCTCAGATGGGCACTGATATGTGGCATTGACGTGCACTGGTAGGCACTGATATGTGGCATTGATGTGGCACTGATGGGCACTGGCACGTGGCACTGATGAGCACTGACTGCTGGCACTGATGGACACTGACAGGAGGCACTGCTGGGGCTACATTGATCATCAGTGCTCTGATGATCACTGTAGATGTCCCCTCCGCAGAATGCCGATTGCTGGCTCTCCTCTCCTCTCGAGCTGTCAGCGTGACAGCTCGAGAGGAGAGAAATGCCGATAACTGGCATTTCCCTGTTTACATGTGATCAGCTGTGATTGGACACAGCTGATCAGATGACCGAGCTGACATCTTCGGCTCTTTCCATGGATCAGGGATCCACTGTGTCCGAAGGACACAGAGCACCGCTGATTGCCACGCTGCATGCTCCAGGAGCCGTGCATGCGTGGTGAGAATGGGAGGACATTATATGACGTCCTCCCAGAACGAGAGAACCACCTTGCATCCATCATATTACTATATGGCGGGCGGGAGGTAGTTAATGTTAATTTGTTTTGCACATTTGTGTATTTTTGTATCTGTGCCCTGAAAGTCCCATTTCCCCAATTGCACTCTATATATTACATATTTTGCGATATTGGCACTTGATTTGGATTAAGTCATCACCTTATATTCTGTGTTTTATATCAGCCTCTATCATTCCCCGCATAGCATCATTCATATTTTGGGGAGGAGGTGGCACTAGGAGCCAGTCATACTTTGTATGCACATGTGCCAATAGGGAAAATGCTGACAGAAGACGAAAGCAGACTGAGTGACTTTTGACGAATGTGACAGCTCCTACTCTTTATTCCTAATGCAACAGAGAGAGAAAAAGCAATCACACCCTCCTGGTTGTGCTGACTGGAGGAGGTATGAATAAGAAAAGTATTAGATACTCAGGGGTAGATTTACAAAAACTGGTACACTCAGAGTCTGGTACAGCTCTGCATGGCAGCCAATCAGCTTCTAACTCCAGCTTGTTCAATTAAGCTTTGGCAATAAAACCTGGAAGCTGATTGGTTTCTATGAAGAAGAGATCCAGATTTTGCACTCTCCAGCTTTAGTAAATAAACCCCTCAGTGTCCATGTGTATTCTGCAATTGTGCACTTAGCTGTTTCACTTCCATTTAATTTTAAAATAAACCAAAAGTGTCAAAGGTGACAAACAGGAAAGTCAGGAGACAACCAATCATCATTACCCACATGTAATACGATGTGTGTACATTACCAGGTGTGTGTTACAAAAAGCCTGGCATAAGAAATTGTTGATTTTGTTAACTGCTGCATAGAATGTAATTGGGTTTTAGTACTAAAGACCACTTTACAGATAAAGTATAAGATCAGAGTTGTAGCACTGTAGGCACGGTCTCCAAGGTGACAGTACATAGGGATCCCTCTTGGTGATCCCTGCACTGTCTTTTTGAAGTGAGCAATCATTGAAATACATTTCACTTGTTCCATATTTTGTATATATTCAATCTTAGGCTCCATATTTTTTTTCTAAGGGGTCTTATTTTTTTCAGCTTTTAGGTGTTGTGCTATTGATGCTTACATCTGTATTTGTTCTGTGAATTGTTGTCTAAAATATGTTAATCAGTAATGTCAATGTTCCCAGTATATATGCCTTATATAAACATTGTTAATTCTGAGTGGCATTAGATTTTGAGGGTGATATTCATATGTGATGCAGGACGTTTTGATTTCCATCATGGTTTTTACATATTCATTACATGTGCTACATTATTAAACATGTGACATGTTATGGATTACAGTTCTTGGATTGTGGATTTTTTTATATACAGTATTTAGTGGTTGTTTGTGAATTATGGTAGTTGAGTCCATACCAGATTTCTATCTTTGGTTTTTAGATCTCAGAGAGCTAAAAGATCTTCAGTCTTTGGTTTTTAGATATAATGCTATAAGGCTTGAAGCACAGGAGTGCCCAAGCACAAGAAGAGCATTGTCCCTTTTCAGGAGAAATTCAAAACATTAGTTAATCTTTATGGTTACTAATCAAACATAAATAAGATTTCTTAGTAATATCTGAATAAAGTGTAAAATTTTATTTAGCTCAAAAGTGTCAAAAAAGTTATAAGGGAAATGATGTTGGCCACATACAGAGATAACCATAGTATAATTAGAAGAATGAAGGATCATTTATTCCTAGTGAGTTATTATATATGAATTAGTTTTTTGTTTTGAGTATATATATATTGTTTATAATGCAGTAGGTGTGAATGGTAATTGTTATGATAGCCGGAGACAATTAAAACTGTAACTGTAATTGTTGGTGGTTGTAAAGTGTCTTATGTGTAATTGTGCTGTAAAAAAAAAAAAGAAAGAAAAATAATGTCTAATAAAGAGTAAAAAAATAACATGTAGATGTCACTATGATGTAGCAAACTCCACTTTTTGAGTTGAGACTTTAAGAAGAACTTTAACCCCTTAGTGCTGGCATTTAAAACCCCTTGGCGCTGGTGCCTCCCGGCCCTTTAAGGGGTTTCGGATGCCTGGAGGTGGGGCAGGGTTTATGATCATGTGACCACTGTGATTGGCTGGCACAGCCATCACATGATTAGAAAACTCCAGCAAGCAGAGATTGGGAGCTTTCTTTTACTGTAGCCTCCAGTAACTTGCTGGGAGCGTGTACAGTGCACGCTCTTGGTCCAGTTCTGTTTTTCTTTTGGTACGCATATATGTGGCCTCTCAATGTTAACACCCACCTGCAGAGAGGACGCATATATGAGTATGACCAGTGTGAAGGAATTAAGCAAGTAATATCACGTGGTAAGTAAGTAAGAATGCTATCCAAAATATGCAAGAGTGAACTCAAAATATCATCTTACAATGAGTTCCAGGGTAAAAATTGGAGTCATTAGCGGATTAAACTTTAATCACCAGGAGAATTGTGTTTTTTGTAGAAAAGTACCATTAGAAAGACTATAATCCTATTAGCATGTATTTAATTTTGTCCTTGTAAAATAACTATTAATTTTAAATTTCAGATTTTTCATTATGACATATTTCTATAAAATACAAGCAATTTATCAGATAGTATCTAGAAACCCATTTTAATACATAACATCTGCTGATTCCATTATGTTGTATCTATCCTAATTGGCCAATTCAACTTCTACCCCCAACAGGCAAACAGATGTTTCTGCGGTAGAAATTATTGTTGCCTCTAGTTTACCAGTAAGATTATCTCTATAGGGGCCATATGTATTCTCTGAGGCACATGCAGGTTTTAAGGATTAGTCATAGTTTTGTCTATAGCTTTATTTTAACTCTAAGAATCCACGTTTATGTTCATTAGCTTAGCTGTGAGTTTATAATAGTTGACAGAACACCCATGGAGAAAACAAGACTGCAGTAGTAAATAATAACACTTAAGCTGGTTAATGTTTTATGACTCTAACCAGTATTGAATTATAGAATTTTTAGCATGTATGATGAAAAACCTAATGTTGTAAAATGTAATAGGGCATAACTGCATAATTTGCTTTTTATAACTTCTAATATGTTTTATGCATTGTCTAGAAGGTATACTTATTTCATTTGTTCTTCACAGCTAAGGATAATTAAAAATCCATTACATTTCCTTCATTGCAATGACACTACATAAATTAGGACTGGTAGCAAAGAGAGACATAAGAAAGTGGTCTAACCCTTTCAATGTGTCAGTTTATTTGCAATGCAAATTTTCCTGAGAGTCTTCCACAATTTTATTTGCAAATCATTGTAATTCCTAGGCTGACCTTTCTGTAATATTATACATTTCCAAATTCTGGAATCATACAAAATGAGTCAAGAAATACCATTTTTTACTTCTGCCATTATGAAATCCTGAAAGCCATTTATGAAATGATACATTTTTCTCTGTACAACTGTCTTGTCAGCTTTTTCTAAGAAAGTGAGTATGAAAAAAAATTCAGACATAAAATTAACCCCTTTACTGTCACAGACTCAAGGATTACATCAGAACAGAACTGCTTGCAGAAAACTCAGTAACCTTTAAGCTTTCTGTAATTTCTAAGACTGTAAGCTCATGGTTGCTTCAAAGGCCACTCAAATAGTAACTACATGGATAAAACAGCAGCTAATAAGCTGCAGGTGACATTAGTATATTATTATACAGGGTTTATATAGAACCAGCAGTTAGTTATATAGAACCAACAGGCATCACTTTATAATATATAGAAAGACAGTACAATTGACATGCAGATAAAGGCAATAGGGTGAGGAGGTCACTACTCATGAAAGCTTACAATCTAAGCATCTAAACATTATGTAAATGTGGTGGCTCCTGTGCACATGTTACATATTCAGGGGCGGACTGAAAACTCATGGGGCAATAGGGGATCATGGGGCACTTGTGTCCTTGCCCAAACTCAAAAAAGCCTATGAAAAGAGTACCAGGGGCATCTCATGGGGCCCCCTACTGACTCTGGGCCCTCAGACAGTGCCCAAGTTTCCAAATGGTCAGTCCACCCTGTACATATTCCATAATATTGTAGACTAGATTCACACTTTTACACTGTATTGCGGTGTGTTACCACATGTATTAGGTGATTGCATTATGCATGATTGCATCATGCATTTTGAATGCACCCCAATGCAGGAAAAAAACTTACATAGTTGAAAAAAGAAACAAGTCCATCTAGTTCTACTAAACTTACATGACTCTTTATTATAACATACTTCACAGCCATAGTGTTAAAATCTCCCCCAACCACTGATGCTCACCTCCCTGCTTAGCTGGTGCAATATATCCAGGGCTTGTGCATTTGGGGAGGATGTGATCTGATCCCGGGTGGGTGTGCTTGGATCTAACTGCTACTTAGCAGCCTCAAATGCTGTGGATTGCTGTAAAGGAGTATGAGTGTATCAGGGAGGGCAGACCTTGAATGGACAAAGTGTCAGTGTCTTTTCAACATCCATTATTTCATGCATTATGCACTGTATTATGTAAGCCCATTCCTTTTTAATGGGGTGCAGCTCATTACAGTGCAAGGATAAACATGATTTTATTTTTTAATGCAGCACACCACATGTGCTCAGGTGCACTAACAAGGTGCATTAG